TAAATCAGAATATTTAAAATGAAGCGTTCGCCACATCTATGAACACATGTAATCACTGCTGGTCGCCACTAGAGGTCAGTACACACAATAGGTCGCAGGTCAAGTTTAACATCAACAAGTTTGAACTTTTCCAAACATCTGATCTGAACTTGATCAGACACAAAAAATAAACTATGTTTTTTCCTCTCGTCCTTTTCATCAACGCACTTCTGCAACTGTTCGAACAAAAATTACAATCAACAACAAATAATCACAAAAAGCTTTGTTGACATCATCTCCACTTTTTACATTTGAACAATTCAAGTTTCACAGAAAATGTCTTTTCTCTGCATTTCACTCAAGTTCACATTTATTTCACTTGTGTATTTGCAGCCTTGAATAGTTTTGGGACGTCTCTCTCGTGTGTGTGTGTCGTCCACCTTGTTGCTGCGACCTCAGGTCGAAATAAAGAAATTCTGGTTTGTCTTATTCTGCGTCTTGTCTCTTCTGGATCTGCGGAGTGATTTCCTTTCCCTCCGACCACTGACAACCCTGAAACACAAGAGGACGCGCATGGAAGACTGAAGAACAATGAGAATATTTATCTTGTAGGAGTCACAGTCACGTGAAATATATTTAATATGACTCTGACAAAATGAATGAGTAAATAAACAACTGACAAATGTATTCACTCATTAATTACCACAGATACTTTTTCATTATCATTCAATAACTTCTATCTGTACGTCAAGTTTAGAATAGTTTTAGACATGTTGAGGAAAGTAAAGGAAAGTCTTCAGGAACATCTTGTACCTCGTGACGGCCTTGGCAACAAGATAGGCCAGCTCCGCCATGTTGAGGATGATGCAGAGGGACGAGGCGGTGGCCATGAACACGGTGAAGATGGTTTTCTCTGTGGGCCGCGAGATGAAGCAGTCCACCAGGTTGGGACAAGGCCACTGGTCACACTGCACCAGACGTGGCATCTGGAAACCGCCGTACACCACGTACAGGGCGGACCTGGAGACACACACACACACACACACACACACACACACACACACACACACACACACACACATGCTGTTGTATTTATACCACATCTGCAGTATTCTGTGGAAGAGTGAGAGGAAATATTACATGAAGCCTCCCTCAAACAGCAGCCTGAACACCAGGCTGCACGCGTACGTCCACCAGAGGACGCCGGACACTGGGTGTCTCCTCTTCTTCAGGGCCTCCAACTCTTCCTCCTGGGTTCTGTTGTTGAGAAAAGATCTCCCAGAACCCTGTCACACATCCATGACAAGAAGTACAACACACTGTGAGGGGGTGTAGAACCACTTACTGACACATGTGAGGACACACACACCTGCAGCAGCCTCTTCTTGTCCTTGTAGTTACGATAGGCCACGTACATGACGAGCAGAAGAGTTGGAGAGGAGACGAAGACGAGCTGGAGACACCAGAGACGGACGTGGGAGACAGGAAAGAACTGATCGTAGCAGACGTTCTCACAGCCCGGCTGAAACACACACACACACACACACACACTACTATTATTATAAGTAGTAGTATAGTGGTATTTGTAGTATTAGTATTTACTAAACACTTTTATAATTATGACTTTTAACTTGTTCTGTAATGATGATGTCACTTTGTCTCACATGTGAATCTTTTCCATCCAACAGCAGTGAAGTTCTGCACCTTGTCTCTTTTGTCGTCTCGCAATACAATAACGTCCCACATTGTGATCAATAATCTATCTGTCTATCCACCATATCAACATGGTAATATGAACACGTGCATGTGACGTGCGTGATGTCAGTGCTGCACCTGCAGTGTGTTGCAGATGAAGTCCGTCTGCTCGTCTCCCCACACGCTCTCTGCAGCTACCACCAGCACCAGGACCCGAAATATGAAGAGCACAGAGAGCCACACTTTACCCAGACTGGTGGAGTGATGGTTGGCCCGGAGCAGCTGAGTGTACAGAGCAGGCCAAGACATGCTGGACACACACACACACACACACACACACACACACGATGAAACAAAAGACGTTTGACCGAGGACGAGGATGAAAAGGAAAGAAAGTGAGAGAGGAGGAGGAGACAAAAAGGGCCAGTGCCAAAATGTAAAATGAAAAATTAAAGGCAAACAATTTAAAAGCATCAACACACTGAACAAATCCATAATACTACAGTAACACACGTGTATTATACTGATAAGAAAACTAGAATATATATATATTACAATATTACTAATACAATAATGCATAGTACATAGTTTTTATGGGTAGAAATACTGCGTAAAAGTTTCACAGATATGCTGCATACTCTCTCTCTCTCACACACACACACACACACACACACACACACACACACACACACACACACACACACACACACACACACACACACACACACACTTACAATGAAAACTGATAAAATGCAGAAACCACAAACCTGCAGCTGCTTCTTCTGCATGAAGCCAAAGATTTGCCTCCAGCTGTAAAGACCACCAGTATAAAATATGAGGTTTTCCTGTTGAGACTTTCAAAATAAAACTTCACAGGCACCGTTTTAGAGGAAGAGACCAGACTCATAGCACAGCAGCGAAAATTTGATTCATTAATGTATATTTTATATTTATAGTTTGTATCTGTTTTTTCATTCTTAGTGTCTTTGGGCCATTGTTTAAAGCACTACACAAATGAAAACCTATTATTATTGCTATTGTTATCATTCTTAAGCCTGTGCTTGTGTGGACAATAAAAAGTGACCATATATTTTAGAAGTGTTTGAGTAAGACTAAAGACAAAGAATAATTCTGAAGCAGCTCCGCAGCATCACCACAGGATGTGATATAGATATATAAGTGGACACAGGTAGAGAGTCGGAGGCTGTGACCTGGCAGCGGTCCGCCTGCAGCACAGTGTCGCTCTGTGTTCCACTAACGACTGTGACCAACAAGCTTCTCCCACTGTTTGTCGAAGTGTGGGAGCAAAAAACCAACTTCCTCACTTTAACACAAGGTGTTACTGATTCTAATGAAGTCATTAGAGGGAAATAACAGTAACTCGTATCCCTGATGCGTATCGATGAATGGATATCAGTGTCAGGAGCAGGCACAAAGAGCCACTGTTTGATTTGTCAGGCAGAACAAGGCCCAGACGTTTTGATGAAGTGGTCAGATCCCTGATCAGACGGCTCAGGGGAGAACAGAGGAGACCAGTGTGAGGATACAACCACAACCACATACTGTACAAACACATGCAGTAATGAGTGAGGGGGAGAGCAGCATGTGACTGAATAGAAGGTTTCAGTTGTGTAGGTTGAACTTGGCTGAATGATCCTGGATCTACGACACGAAGATCTGCAGACGATCATCATCCTGATCATTTCTTCAACTGAAACATTTCTGAATTATTCAATCTATTCTTTATTATTATTATTATTCAAGATCCAGGATCCATCTGCTGCTTTACACTGAATCCTCTGCACGGTTCATTGTGATTCGTTAATCAAACTAAACCAACTGATGCTGTTTCTCCTTCTCAAAGAACATATAACACATTACAACATCCTCTCCTGGGAAATTAAAGTGAAAACACAAACTTTATTTTTTATTATCGATGTAACAGTGATTCATTTGATCACATTTGATCACAATACTAAACTATATTAGTTCTATTATTAAGAATGTGTTTACAGCTAGTTATATAAACATCTTCCTCCACAGAATGATTGAATCCATTATTATCTGTTATTTATTTATTTGGTTTATTTATAATAACATGAAATAATGTGACGATGCTGTAACACTCCAAAGCAGTAGGGGGCGATAATCGTGGAAAGTAAAAACGGAAACGGAAACGCTCTCTGTATCAGCGGTGCGTCGCTCTTTGCTGCCGCGGAGGAAACAAGACGTTGGAAGTGACCGATACTCGATCGTCGACAGTGAATCGAGAACAACAGCGATGGCTCTGGAATCGCGGATCACACAGGAGGAAATCAAGAAGGAGCCGGAGAAGCCCATCGACCGGGAAAAGGTCAGAGTCCGCTCGTTAGCCGCGTTAGCGCCAAGCTAACGTGGTCCGGCAGCCATGCTAACAGCTCCGTGCTAACAGCGCCGTGCTAACAGCCTTACGACTGAAGCTTCTAAATTAAACTCAACAACACTGACGGACCAACATCAGCACCGACTTTAGTTTGTTCTGTGGCGTGACAACAACAACAATGGTGGATGGAGCCTGGATATGAATACATTCTCTGTGGGTTAGCAGTGCTAATGTGCTAGCTAACCGCGGTTCCCTGTTCACCCTCAAAACAACAAGTCGAGGCTTTTTGTTATGAATGAAAGATTTTTTTAAATAACTGAAAAGTCTGTGGTCTTAAGAATGTTTAATTTGTGACTCTGCTTCTATCAAAAATTAAAAAAATGTATTCGCTTCTTATACTATTTGTTCTATTCATCACAACATTTCCTTATTTTCATGTACAAACAGGTTTTTCTATTATCTCGTGCAATCATCCTGTGCCACTTTACTTGATAACGTTTCAATGCGATGATGCTGGTGTCGCCTTGAAGCCTCATATTAAACTATGTTTTGCATCTGATGCTTGTTTCAGACCTGCCCTCTCCTGCTGCGAGTGTTCACCACCAACAGTGGCCGACACCACAGACCAGATGAGTTTGCTCGTGGCAACGTTCCGTCGAGTGAACTGCAGATATACACGTGGTGAGGCCGCGGACGCGTCGCTCTTTGTCTTTACTGTTGAACGTGTTCAGTTGAGTTCTTGAGGCAACATGTGAATGTATGTGATTCTCTGTGCTTCAGGATGGATGCTACTCTGAAGGAGCTGACCTGCCTGGTGAAAGAAGTGTATCCAGAGGCCAGGAAGAAAGGAACTCATTTCAGCTTCGCTATAGTCTTCCCCGACACCAGAGGGAAACTATACAAGTAAGTACCACACTTCAGAAGGTCCATGGAGCAGGATGATGATTTCTACGTGCTGTGTATTAAAACGTCTTCCTCTGTTAGGTTGAAAGACATCGGCAGTACTCTATCGGGCAGGAAGGGAGCCGATGACTCCATGACGCTGCAGTCTCAGCGCTTCCAGATCGGGGACTACCTGGACATCGCTATCACGCCCCCGAACAGAGCCCCGCCCCTTAGCACACGCATGAGGCCATTCTAAAAACACATTCACACGCAAGCAACACACCCAGCTCCCATAATGTTAGTTTTTCTCTTTCGCATCATCTTGACTGATTTTTGCATAATTTTGTAAATTGTGACGTGTAATAAAAGTTTTTTCCAAAGTCTGTGTGACAACCTGAGATGATTGAAAGTGTCTGAACGTTCAGGAGACATTAATGAAGTTACTGGATATAAAATGACATAAGTATACATATAAATGGCTGAAGATATTTGTGTTTTACTTTTAAGTTGAATGCATATATATTTTTTGAATCAACATTTAAATAATATACACATACAAATAGTTAAAGTATTACAGTTTAGTTTAGAGAGTTCTCTTATATGTACATTCTACAATGAGGAGGTTTTGGAATAACGACATCCTCATATTTTGTATATAGTATGATGTAGTATGAATGAAGTATATCATAGTATGATATAGTATGATATAGTTTAATTTAGTATAATGTAGTATACCGTAGTATGATGTGGTATAATGTAATATACTGTAGTATGTATGAAGTATAATGTAATGTAGTTTAATTGAATATTATATAGTATAATGTAGTATAATATATTATGATGTGGTTTAATGTAGTATGTCTAGTATAATGTATGATAATATAGTATAACCTAGTATAATGTATGATAATATAGTATAACCTAGTATGATGTATGATAATATAGTATAACCTAGTATGATGTAGTATAAACTAAAGTATTCATACATATTCCGGTTGGTGGCTTTTACTTTGACAGTCCCAACAGGAAGCTGCAAGCAGCGCATGCGCAGTTCCACGCTGACAGCTAGCAGGAGAAAGCAGCTAAAGCTAACGAGCTGCGGGACACAGAAACCCGTCGTTTGCGGTTAAACACCCGCAAACATGTTCCGGAGGAAGCTCACAGCTCTGGACTATCACAACCCCGCCGGCTGCGACTTCTCAGGTGGGAACCGTCTCCTCCAGGAGCCGCTAACGTGGAGCTAACGTGTCCTGTCACTGTCGCTACCAGACTCCTGCAGCTGAACTGGAGTTTTCACGTTCGTCTTGTGTTCGTGTTGGTTAAAACACGAGATAAAGAAGAAAACACACTGTCACCACCACTTCCTTCTGTTCGGCGTCATGCTAAAGTTCTTACTAAAGCTAATGTCAACTGTGTTCAGATTTAAATTCCACTGATTTCAACGCTTATTTTGAAGTTAGCTGTTTAGCATTGAGCTCTTAGCAGTGTTTTCAATGTTGATGTCACATTCTATATTATATTTATCTATATTCACTCACATCTGTTCATCTTATTGTCTCAATTTACATAAATATAGTTTATACCTTTATATATATACATCTGTACACAGTTATACTATATGTAACATAGTACCATGTTGTATTCTACGGTGCATTTATACATATTTCTCGTACATTGCATTTAATACTCGTATTCCTTATATACTTGTACTATAAGCCATTAATACTTACATACTCTAACGGTGTATTTATGTATTTACATGGATACGTTTACTTCAGTATCTCCACATACTACTGCACATGTACTGTCTCCTGCATCACTGCCCTTTCATGGAGCTCTTCATGCAGCTGCTGCTTCTGACGTGTCCCCGTCTGTGTCTCCCTCAGATGAGACTCAGTACAGGAACTGCATCGTGTGGCTGGAGGACCAGAAGATCCGACACTACAAGATCGAGGACCGAGGGAACCTGAGGAACATCCCCAGCTCCGACTGGCCCTCAGCCTTCCAGAAGGTGACTCCAGCCGCTGCAGCCTGGAGCTCGGCAGACTCTCACACACACCGGCTCAACGCCACAGTCCTGCACTTGCTTTCAATCTGACATAAGCTGTGTTATAGACAGGAATCTTGTCTTGGCTGCTACCAGAGAACCTGAATAACTTGAGTGTTTGTTGTGTTTCTGTGCAGTACCTGCAGGACGTCAACTGTCCGTTTGGAGTTCAGGAGAAGCACGAGGCTCTAGACTGGTTACTGGGTCTGGCCGTGCGCTACGAGTATGGAGACAATGGTGAGATTAAAACACACACTGAGCTTTTTTTGTTCATTCAGAAGAAGAGAACACCTTTTCTCTAGTGAGGCAATAAGCTGAAATGCTCACAAAGACCACTAGATGTAGCTGTTGGAAGAGAAATGTTTCCTGCTCGTGCCAGCTCACATGTACTTTTCTCTGCTGCTAAACCAAGAAGAATAACCTGCATTTGTTTTTATCGTCTGTCCTCAGTGGAGAAGTATAAGAACTGTCAGCCGCTGGCAGCCTCCAGTAACAGCGACCAACCTATCGACCCTCTGGTCAACCTCGACAGTAATCAAACTCTTTCATTGCACCTCACACCCTCCTCCTCCTCCTCCTCATTAAAAACAGAATCTGTTTGTTTTTCAGTTAATTCACCAGATTTCAAAGCAGGAGTGACGGCTCTGTCCAACATCCTCAAAATCCAACGGCACGACGACTACCTGGTCATGCTCAAGGTGAGAGAGCGGATGTTTTAAGATTAAATCACGTTCTGTTCATATGAATCCAGCTGACACTGACAGAAAACTTAATGAAAGACTTTATAAATGTTGAAGAGATGTGTCTGTTTCTTTCAGGCCATTCGTATTCTGATCCAAGAGAGACTTTCCCCAGAAGCCATCGCTAAAGCCAGCCAGAACAGAGAGGTAACTTTACATGTCCAAATTATTTTGTTGTCCGCATGTCTATTTAAACCTTTCACATTTTAATGACAATAACAATTGTGTTGCTTTGACTGTGTTCTCACTCACGTATGTTTTCCTCTTGGGTCCAGGGAGTTCCAGTAACTTTAGACAAACACACCTTGGGTTTCGACACTGGAGGTGAGCGCTTCATTTTCCACATCATGAAATCAAACGTACACGAGGGGAGAACGGGTTAGTTTGGGTGTGTTGACATGAAGTGGTGTCGTGGGAGAGTAAAAACACGCTCTGGCTCCTCAGATGCGACCCTAAACGAAGCGGCTCAGATCCTGCGCCTGCTGCACATCGAGGAGCTGCGGGAGCTTCAGACCAAGATCAACGAGGCCATCGTAGCCGTGCAGGCCATCATCGCCGACCCGAAGACCGACCACCGGCTAGGCAAGGTCGGCAGATGAGAGCGAGGATGAAGAGGGACATTAGAGGAAGGGCGGGACTGAACCACGGGAGTTTTAAATTGTTTGAGAAGAAAATAAGTTTTTAGTTTTTTTTGGACAGAAATTATTTGTTTTCTCCATTTCTCGGGATTTGGAGCAAATTCTTTTCAGACGTCTTGAAGACGAGCTGTGTAAAACACACAATAAGTTGAATCGTTAATTTTTTCAGAAACTGAGTTCCAACCTTCTGATCATCTTCAAGCTGCTGTAACCGCCCCCAAATCAATGCATACCTCAGAAATATTTAAAAAAAACCTGTTTATCAGATGGAAGTAAATGTTATTTTGATGGTTTTCACTGACGCCGTATGAAATGAGATAAATCCAGCTCAACGCAGTTTGTCTCTTGTGCTTCCTGTGTGAAATCCTCACGATACAACGTCAAGTACCAAATCACATTTTTATTGTTATAAATATCACATCTTATAAAAAGATAGATTTCAAATGTAGTAGAAACGGTAAAAGTATTTTTGTAAAAAAAACAACAAAAGGTGTGAAATACAGATAAGTAGTGCAGAGATGTGGCAGGTCTGTCTGATCTGATCATGGCACACAGAGGGAAACAGATTCTTACCGATCATCAGATTAACACAATATAATTCACTCACTGATGGTTTGAAGAAATCAGTGCTGATGATACCAGGTTTTGTTGTTGTCATGATGCTAAAAGCTAATTTTCTATAATCTCACACTGTTTTTGAATCTGTTTTTAACTATAAAAAAAGATTGACTTTAAAAAACCCCAGTGTGACCAGTCGACCTGAACGAAAGCAGACGCTGAGGAACAGAAAAAACCCAACTCATACATTTAAAATCCGATTTTCATCGTTGTGTAGCTTTTTATCAATGGAACAAAAACAACTCACGTAAAAAAATACAGTAGAAGAAAAAAAGCCTAAAAATGAGGTATAAAACAAATTTACAAAACACTTATTTTGGGGTTATATCTTTAGGGTTAGGGTACGTGGAGGGGGTTGTAAATTTGCTCCGACGTTCAATCTGCCAACGGGGAGACGTCTCCCCTTTCCTCCGAGGGAACCTGGAGAGCTGAGGTGTGTTCGGGAATCACCCCCAGAATTTTAGCACCAAAAGATTCTTGCGCCCGCCAGTCCGTCGTTAGTGGCTCCCTGTGAAAACACACCTCGCACATTTAGACAGAAAAGTGGAAGTAGAAACCTCCTTTTTTTCCTCTGAGTGTGAGGGTCCAGGTGGAAATGAAGCGGTAAAGGTCTAATTTTCTCTTCCTGTGTGAATCCACATGTGAAAGGATGAAAGCTTTACGGCTGCAGCGGCCTAATGACAGAACAAACAGACCCTGCTTAAGTGCAGGGCTTTGCTTCTCTGTCGCAACTCAGTTATCTCAGTAAAGAGTGTGTGTGTGTGTGTGTSTGTGTGTGTGTGTGAGTGTTGGCGTATTTAACAATAACAGCTTTTAAGCCTCTTACAACCTGCCTAACAAGTGTGTTTCAGAACTGTCATCATGGTCAGAATTACACCACACATCCACAGCTTTGAAGCGGGCGGCTGTTATTACGTCTGAGAACACGCAGACATGACATCTTGTCCTGAGAGGGAACGAATGGACAAACTTTTGTGAATTGTCTGACTCCATCGTGAGCAGATTTTACGCTCGTCAGACGCGCGCAGCTTTGACATCTGCTGAGGGGCGACTTTAGGGATTATCCTGTGTTTAGAGCGCGACTTTGTACTTAAAAAGTGAGGCTTTGAAACGACTCCATCTGCACACATCACCACATCAAACATGACGCACACAAACACAAAATACAGGTAGAGGGCCGCAGCTGTGTAATCATTGTTCTCTTTCATTGGGTGTGTGTCAAGTCGCCGCAGACACACAAAGAGGAAGAGCTGTGAGGTCGGTCAAACACAAACTTTGGTTTTTACCACACAACAAAAGCTGCATTTAGTTTGGCTGAACAAAAAAGGTCTGAACACGGAATGGTGGATTCTTGCGTGGAGGTGACTTCAGCCAAGGTTTACGAGAATAAGAGTTTAAAATACGCCCTCAGTCTGTTTTCTGTGGCGTAACCGCTGAGTTCCTGTTGAGGTGACATCTGGAGGGAGATGACTGATGAGATGACATCACTGCACACACACCGATGAGCTCACTGTGTGTGACACCTTGAAAACTCTGTGTGTGTGTGTGTGTGTGTGTTTCAGTATTAAATCAAACATCCGACAAAGTGCTTCTGTTTATACAACACACACGTCTCACCTGATAGACAGCCGGTAGTTGCTATGGCGATGCCGTAGAGGTGTGAGCGCTGGTCGGGCAGGTATTCGTCTGTGAACTGACTGCTGTCTTTGCTCACTACGATCACACCGTCCCTGTGAGACAGCGGACAGAGAGAGAGAGTCAGGCACCGGGGACGAGGATGGTCGAGACAGCACGGCCTCGCGTTTATTATGATCGGTGGTGATTCACATATACACAGAAGAAAGATGGCTACCTCCTCCAGTCGGAGTAGTAGAAGTGGTTCCTGTAGTAAACCAAGCTGAACGGGTAGTTGAGGTTGGAGTGGACGACTCTGTGACCGGACCCGTCTGGAGATATGCACTCTAAACGCTTTGTACCTGAAATCAGGAGCAAAACATGCTGTGTGATGCTTTATCCTGCAACTTGTTAACATCAGTTCATCAAAGACATTTTCAAAACATTTGTTTCTTAAACAAGCTCTTTTTAAAGTGTAGCTGTAGACGTCGTGTGTACCTGCGTCGGCCCAGCAGATTTTCCCAGACGAGTAGTCGTATGTGAGAGCGTTGGGCAAACCGATCCCTTCAGACACCACCACCCTGCGGTTCTGACCGTCCACTGATGCGCACTCGATCTTCGGAGCCTCTCTGTTCCAGTCTGTCCAGTACAGAGTCCTGCAGGGAGACGCAGACGAGAGGTCAGACTCCAGAATGTATTTGTTCATGAGTGTTCGACATCATCTCCGTTGAATTTGACCCGTTTGTGACGCTACTCTGACTTTTTTCTTGTTTTGTGATGAGCGCTGGGATCTGGCTAATATAAAGAGACAGGAGGAAAACCACACACACAAGCTTGCACTCAGCCGCACGCACATAGGTGGGTACACAAGCGCACAAGAGCACAGGGCTCGGGGGAGCAGCTGTCTCATGTTGATGAGGTCACGGTCAGGTTACTCTGAGCAACGTGCGGCCTTTGACCTCAGCTCTTCCACAGCTGTTTTGGGGGGTTGTTCGTGTGTATACATCAGAAAAACATCTCCCACGCGGAGGCAGACGTGTTTTCCAGAGTAGAATGAGCTCTATATTTATTTTATTTTATTTTGTGACGTGTTTCTGTTAAAAAAAATCAAATCATTTTTTGTTATTTCAAACATTTGCTCAGGACGATAGTGTGAGTGTGTGTGGGCTCCTCATTACGACACACAGCTTCTCATCTGTGGATGATGGTGCACATGTGGGTCGTCCACTGGGAACTACAGGTAATACACACCACATGAGCAATCAACACACACACACACACACACACACGCACACACACACACACACACACACACACCATGGGTTTACGAGTGTGTAAATCAAGTTACGTTGTTAATGTATAGGTGAGCAGATGGTGATGGATGAGCAGTGCATGCCTTTATAATGTGTGTACTTGTACTTTTTGTGTGTTTGCTTTGCTGTGTGCGTCTGTGCGTGTGTAAGTATGTGTGTGTGTGTGTATAAGGGGAACATGTGCAGGCACAGAAATCCCAAAGCATGTGCTTAATCATAAGTGTACCCGTGTGAAGCAGTAATTACCTTTAGGACTTGGCCTTTTTTCAAAACACACACACACACTTGACCTTGAGGCAGAAAATAAACTGTCAAACCAATAATGAGAAACATACATTTGAGGTTTTATGATTTGGGTTATTGCTGCTATGTTTAATCATTTGTATCAACCGCATTCACACACACACACACACACACACACACACACACACACACACACACGTGTACCTGTTGATTATGTGATTAGTTGCGATGATGAAAAGCAGATGTTATTCCTGGAGAGCCGACCAACGAAGACCTCCTATATTCTGTGTGTGTGTGTGTGTGTGTGTCTGTGTGTGTGTGTGTGTGTGTGTCCAGGGTTAATAGCATCAGTAAATCCAGCAGTTTTCTTGGCTCAACACCGACAGTGAAAGCACTAAACGTCACAAACTAATGACTAATGACTGAATTATCAAAAATACACGACCAAAGAAAAACTCCTCCCTGCAACCCGAACCCGTGGATGTTCCTCGTACGGCCCGACTCACACTGATGTGTTTACCTCACTGTCTCTCGGCTCCAGAAACCAGACTCAACAAAATCCCTTCTGTCAAACGGCTTTACAACGTAACGTTCACTGTGCTAATGAATTAGTTACAGGCCTTGTTGCTTGACTCGCTCCGTCTGAGGACGTGTGTGTTTGATTTCATGCTTGTGCTAATGGGCTGAAACCCATCTGTTCCCTGGTCTGATATAAAAGCAGACACAGTGAGGGCTGCGTCTCATTCTGCAGGGCGGAGCACCTCCAGGACGCTACACTCCAAGTGTGTGTGGGCTCTTGTTTGTGTCTTGGTCTGGGAGGAGATTTGTAAAGCTGCTTTCAGACCTGCACTCATCTTTTACTGGAATTTTTCCAGAGGGGCTGAATGTGAGAACCATCTCTGGTGTCACTAGAAGATCAGCACAGCCACAAATGTCCAGAAAAAGGTGTTTACCCAGTTGAAGAGACCACTATGATGGCCCGGGGGTTGACCAAGTCTGTGTCGAACAGCGTCTTCCTCCCGCTGCCGTCCAGGTTAGCGCTCTCAATCAGGTCAGGTGTGGAGTCGACCCAGAACATCAGCCTACGTTTGACGTCCACGGCCAAACCCTCTGGACTGACCAGATCTGCAGAGACCACACAGAAAGTGTTGAGATCGTTTAAAACACTGCAGTTATACTTGGAATGAAGTGCGAGGAGAGGAGTGTGGGATTTACTTGTGTTAATGAGAATCTCAGGCTCGGCTCCCGGCACCATTGAAGCTCTGTTGATTGTTCTTGCAGACAAATCTGTCCAAAAGACCTGGTTGTCTTTGCAGTCATAGGCGAGACCAACAACTATGGAACCCTGCAGACACACAAGCACACAAATGAGATACATTAACACATTTCAACAACATCAGAACATGAACACAAGCAGACACGCAGCTCTTCGTCTCTCACATGCAGAGTCAGCAGTGTTTTGGAGCGAGTTGCATCGAGCCTGGTCCCATTGAGAGGCAGCGCCCCGATTTTCTGTCCCTGAGCGTACAGCAGCGTGACGTCTGCGTTCGGCGGGGGGGTAACATTTGGACGGGGCAGTGGCCGCACGGTGGGAGGGGCCACTGAGGGGAGGCCTGGATTGGAGGATTGAACGGAAAGAAACAGTTTTCAGAAACAGCAAAGTTTCATGTTATTTCCACGATGTAAACAACAAGAGGTGTGTGTTACAGGAGGTAAGACACTCACAGGCAGGTTTGACAACGTCGTGCGATCGTGTACCAGGAACCTCCCGTCCGTCCTGGTCCACACACCAGCAGTATGTGGTCTCCCCGTAACACTGGACTGGACTGAGAGGGACGAACACATGAAATAAGCAGGACTGAGTCATTTCTGCTCAAGCTGCACACAGTGTTTTTGAGTGTGTGTGTGTTGTGTACCTGAATTGTCCATCGGGCTCGCACTGGGGCACGTATTGTTGTGGGTCTGGTCTTCCACCATAGTGCTCAATCAAACTGACCCTCCATCGCTCACACACACTCTCGGGTCGCTGGGTCGGAGCAACATGGACTGAGGGGGACACGAATCAAACGTTTTAATTTTAAAGCTAAATATAATCTTACATGGCCGTAAAATAAGAGTTCAGATCCTATTCGGTTATAATTTATGGTTATTTATTCAACTATATATTAATTTTCTATTCAATGGAGCTTTTTGAGATATGTTATGGCGTTGTAACTTTTATTGATCGGGTAGATTAAGGGAGAGAGAGTGGAGGAGACACTCAGGGTTGGAGGTTTATATGACAGTGATAGGTCGAGCGCTTGATAAATGGTGTGAGGAGACCCTGTGTTTAAAAAGGCACAGACACGTCTACACATTTTGCTTTTGTCAAAACAGTTTATCTTGTAAAATCCCTTTAATAACTCACTTGATAACAGAGCTTTAAAACTAAACCCGAAACCACTTTAGACTTCCACTCATGTTTACACAGGCCTCCCTCTCTCCATCTGTGTGTTAAGTTCTGCACAGCTTCTACACTGAGGATAAAATCAGGATGATATTCGTAGTGACAGATCAGAGAAGTTAACAGCTCCTTGGACCAGGACGATATCCCTAAAAAAAACCCAAAAGCTGAGCAGGAAATGCTGCTGCCTCCCGCATCCTGACCCATTACTGAGAAATCCCTGAATACCGTCCCAGAGCAGAGGCCACAGATAAAAAGACGACTGTGGTTGTACTGGGCAGCTTCCAGGTGTGAATGAGTGCAGCTGAGTCTGAAGCACAGCGGGAATGAAACAAAATATCTTGGGTTCTTAGAAAGCAGAGAAAATTTACATATCCACAAATCCAGAGGATTACGTGTGTGTGTGTGTGTGTGTATTTGTCTGGGCCGTTGGGGGGGGGGGTGAAACACCATGCTGTCACTCCGCTGGTCAGGGAAGCCACGGCTTGTTTTCGTTTGGTTGCACGGCAACAGCCTGCAGCTCATCACACCACAAAGTGACCACTTCAGATGTTTGGACGATCATAAATGGAATTTATAGCCCAGACTGAATTTATAGAACGGCCTCCATGTGTATGTTAGAGATCAAGAGAGAGAAGCAAGAATATCTCAACCAGAGTCCTGCACCACGGGTAAAACATATATTTCTATGGATTCACGGACACATGGGTGGGCAGCACAAGAGAATTTACGTGTTTTTTTCCTGGAGAAATTAGGGATTAAAATGATTATGCAGTATTTTTACCATCAGGAGAGCACAAACCTCAACCAAGGCCCAACAGTCCCCTCAGGAAGAAACATTTAAAATGACGAGACCCAGATTTGTCAGGTTTGTCGTCGTTGAGGAGACATTAACAGCTGCAGGAGCATGTAGCATGTGTGTTTGATCACGGGAGTGGGTCATGTGTTAACAGGTCATACCTGTGAAATCCAAATGTCTTCAGTAGTGAAAACAGTCTCACCTGGTTTGTCACAGTCGACCCGTTGTGAACCAGATGAAGTTCTGGTTCCTGCTCTCTCCTGGCCCCTACTGTCCACGCACCAACAATGTCCAGTGGAACTGTGACACTAAATACGTATACGAATATTATCATCAGTAAAAATACACAGAAAGACACAAAGAAATGTGTAGAGAAATCACAGTCTTACCTGCTGAGGTCGAAACTGTCCTTGATCATCACACTGAGGGACATAAGCTCCAAGGATGGGATACCCCTCTGGACTGGTGGTCTGGACACTGTCTCTGTGGTGCTCACAGTGAGTTTTAGGACGCTCTGGTTCATCTGGAGAGAATTAAGTTTTTAAACTTCACAGACAGAACTTTTCTTTCTCTGCGACACTTGCATGATGTTCGAGTCTCACCTGGTTGGTCACAGTCTTTAGGTTGTGTACCAGGTGAAGTCCTGGTTCCCGCTCTCTCCTGCCCCCTGTTGTCCACGCACCAACAGTGTCCAGAGGAGCCATGGCACTAACACGGAAAAATCCTTTCAGTACTATGTCTAAAATTCTTTTCAAGATACTTGAACCAAAGTAAAACACAATCTCATCTGTCGGTGCTGACCTGCAGTGGTGTGTACTGTCCGTTAGCATCACACTGAGGGACAAAAGCTCCAACTACAGGATACCCCTCTGGACTGGGGGTCTGCGATCTTTCGCGATGGTGCTCACAGTGAGTTTTCGGACGCTCTGGTTCGTCTGGGAAACATTAACGAGGTTACACATGTTTTTCACGGACTGACAAAGTGTTTCGAGCGTATCGTATGTCTCAGGCCTGGGTCATATCATCTAAATGATCCTTCACTGAGTAAACATTATACTTCATGGGAGGTTAAACTGGACCTCTCCATCCTCTTTGATGCCATAATGACTGCAGTAGTGTTGATACGACCTCTGCTGTACCGTGTGTACCTGGCATTCATCATGGACATTTCCCAACATGTATAAACTTTATACTTTATAAACTTCTACTGTAAATCAGCTCGTCAAGTATTCTCATTTGCGTCTAAAACTTCTAACAATCCAGATTTCTGCAGAACGCTTGAGAAAAGATACGTAATCATCCTGCAACTAGTGAATGAACTATATTCATTTGACTGATAAACTGCACCTCACCTGGTTGGTCACAGTCTTTAGGTTGTGTACCAGGTGGAGTCCTGGTTCCTCCTCTCTCCTGCCCCCTGTTGTCCACGCACCAACAGTGACCAGTAGAGCTGTGGCACTGAAACAATAATGAATGATAATTTAGGTATTAGGTCTGTAATTCTTTTTCGATGTTAGTCAAAGAAATATTCAAACATCAAGTAAGATGCTGACCTGCAGTGGTGAGTACTGTCCATTAGCATCACACTGAGGTACGTAGGCTCCTGGACTGGTGGTCTGCACACTGTCTCTGTGGCGCTCACAGTGAGTTTGAGGACGCTCTGGCTCGTCTGGAAACAACAGATTTGTAAATATTAACAAGGCAGCAGGAGATATACAGTCGTGATTCATTTCAGACTTTCTGAGTTTTAGGATAAACTGGATTCTCCCCGACTGGTTCCACTTACTGGGGGCTGTGCAGACTCTGTCTGCACTGAGGTACCACATGGTTTGTACTGAGCACACTGCTTATTCCCTCCACACCATACTGCTGTTGCTGATTTGCTCAAGCTCTACACGTACCCTGCAGGGACTGAAATAAATCTCCTTTGGCTAGGCTGCTAAACCTTTCTCTTCACTCCTCACAGTTCATTCAGAGAGTTGCATAATGTACATTTTGGGACTGAATCATCTATCCTCTTCATTTTGGTCCCCCCATTAATATAGGACCCATTATTGAATACGTGCCCTGACAAGTTTAGATGCAGCAGAGCTGGGGCAGCTAGAAACTGCAGTGTTACCTGGTCTGTCACAGTCTTTAGGTTGTGTACCAGGTGCAGTCCTGGTTCCTCCTCTCTCCTGCCCCCTGTTGTCCACGCACCAGCAGTGACCAGTAGAACCAATGCACTGAAACAAACGTAACAGTTGTGTGAACGACAATACAGATACTGAATAAAGCAGTATTTCTTATTTACAACACAATCACAATGATACCTGTTGAGATGTGTAGTGTCCATGAGCATCACACTGAGGCACAAACACTCCGAGCAGAGGATACCCCTCTGGACTGGTGGTCTGAACACTGTCTCTGTGCTGCTCACAGTGAGTTTTAGGACGCACAGGTTCATCTGAGGAGATTTCAAAAAATTGGATTAATGCATGAATTCATAAAAAGATTCATGAAGGAACATTGTGCAGGATCTCTCCCCTCACCTGGTTGGTCACAGTCTTTAGGTTGTGTACCAGGTGAAGTCCTGGTTCCTCCTCTCTCCTGCCCCCTATTGTCCACGCACCAACAGTGACCAGTAGAGCTGTGGCACTGAAGCAATAACGAATGATAATTTAGGTATAAGGTCTAAAATTCTTTTTAATGCAAGTCAGACTCATATCAAACATCAATAAATCACATGTAAACAAGTAAGATGCTGACCTGCAGTGGAGTGTAGTGTCCATTAGCATCACACTGAGGTACGTATGCTCCGAGTAGAGGATGCCCCTCTGGACTGGTGGTCTGAACACTGTCTCTGTGGTGCTCACAGTGAGTTTTAGGACGCTCTGGTTCAGCTGGATGAGATAAATGGACAATAACAGGATTATGTTTATATTAAATGATTGCAAAACAGCAGATATCCATAATCTTGTTGACTATGCCCTGAAGTTTGAGATGTATGTTATCCAGCTAATATACAGTAAAACCTTTTGTTCATCTAAGAAAGAAAACAACTGGGACACCACATGTACTTTGTTTCCTCAGGTTTTTTAGCTTCACGTTACCCTTGCACTCCCACGTAATTAATTTTGAACTTCCCGTTACACACACTCACACTCCGTCTCACAGTGATATCACCTGTTTTTCCAGGCATTCCAAGGCTGTGACCCAATAACCTCAGCAGTGCACCACTCACAAGGTTAGACACACACTCACATAAATGTGGTGTCTGTTTGACTTGTCATTGACTTGAGAAATTGGGGTCTCACGGGTTCACGGAGAAAGCCTTAGAGAGCCATGACATAATACGCGTGCTGATGCTGGTACCGTCACTGCTCATAACAAATATGTTTCAGACGATCGTGTGGAGTCGAAGCGAGGGAGAGGTTTGTGTATTTTTTCTTTTCACCTGGTCTGTCACAGTCTGTAGGTGTTGCACCAGGCGATGTCCTGGTACCTGCTCTTTCCTGTCCTCTACTGTCCACACACCAACAATGTCCAGAAGAACCATGGCACTGAAAAATATTTAATGTTACTTGAGGTTAAATTCAAAAAAGCTGTCAGTTTATCCGTCAGTCATCAGGTGCTGACCTGCAGTGATGTGTACTGTCCGTTAGCGTCACATTCAGGCACAAACACTCCGATTAGACGGTCTCCCTCTGGACCCGTGGTCTGCACACTGTCTCTGTGGTGCTCACAGTGAGTTTTTGGACGCTCTGGTTCATCTGGGGAGGAAAACACAAAATACATTTACACTATAAATTAATATCTTCGACACATTTCCTGATAAAATCAAAAATATAAGCATAGAAATTAATAGAAATGTACTTTATATAAAACAATAAAATCCCAAGAAAGAATAGATAAATCAAAATGAGTAAGATAAAATAAAAAATAAAATGTTGTGTTTTAAAAGGAAAATAATCTGAAACTAAGTTAATTTAAAGGAATTTGTCAAATAGGAAAACAGGCTCAAATCCAAATACAACGGAAACAGAAGAATGACATTCCCTGAGATTAAATAAAGTGCGTACAGCCAATCCAATATGTGAATAAGTGTTTCACAGCAGACTCACCTGGTCGGCCACAGTCGACAGGTGATGTACCAGGTGAGGTCCTGGTTCCTGCTCTCTCCTGCCCCCTACTGTCCACGCACCAACAATGTCCAGTGGAGTCGTGGCACTAAAATCGGAAAAAAAATCAAAATGAATTTGTTTTAATGTCAATACAAGGTTAGATTACAGGTATGAAAATAACGTTTGTCAATGAAATAAAGCTCTGACCTGTAATTGTCTGTAGTGACCATTAGCATCACACTCAGGCACAAACACTCCGAGCAGAGGATACCCCTCTGGACTGGTCGTCTGAACACCGTCTCTGTGCAGCTCACAGTGAGTTTTAGGACGCTCTGGTTCATCTGGAGAGATAGAGATGAATAAAACACAGGAACATTTAAACATATACACCAATCTTTTAATTAAATACCCATGTATGTGAAGGAAAAGTAAGAGTTGATACCTGGTCTGTCACAGTCTTTGGGAGCCGTACCAGGTGGAGTCCTGGTTCCTGCTCTCTCCTGTCCCCTAATGTCCACACACCAACAATGTCCAGTGGATCCGTGGCACTGGAATAAATAATGACACCTTTTAAAATCTGCATGTTTTTTACTCGGGTCATCGGTCGGCCGTGCGCTCTGTCAGTCAGTGATCACCTGCAGTTGACGGTAGCGTCCGTCAGAGTCACACTGAGGGATGAAGGCTCCGACACTTAGCTCTCCACTCAGATCCACTCCACTCTGCAGACTGTCTCTGTGCTGCTCACACTGGCTCTTTGGACGGACTGTCTGTCCTGTAGAGAAACAATCATTACAACATTTGATCATTTTTCTGTCTTTGTATTTTAGATTTGACCATTTTATGCGACAACACTCTTAAATATTCAAGTAAATCCCTCAGATTCTTTCCATTCACGAGTTATTTTGCGTGAAAAAATCTCCTACTGCTTATCTGAATACAAATGTGAGCATGATAGTTAAAATCTCTATATTTGATTTACTGACCTTCCTGTTGGGAACAGAAGAAGCCGTCACCGTAGAGACCGGACTGGCACTGACACTGGAAAGATCCGAGTCCATTGATGCATCTGGCGTTAACGTGACACGGAGAGGAGCTGCACTCGTCCACATCTACACAAGTCGACAGATGCGGGAAGATGTGCTGAAATTTGGAAACCGCGCTACCTCTGCAAATCTTCAACTCAGTTGTATCTTATCAGTATTTGGTTCATTTTAAGACCTTATGCAAAGTGTTTCCTATCAGTCAAGGAGGGAGGTGGGAGGGTATTTAGCAGTTTATCAAAAGTTCACACTGATGGGTGAAGGGAGGACACACACACTGGCAGGACCTTGCTCCTCCACACATTCCAAAGCAACACACACACACACTGTGTCATTGCTCCATTTGTTGTTCACTTTCACCCCCTGTCCTGTCTAATCTCACTCTCCTGTTCTCACACTAGTCCTCTGGTTCCCACCCCTGTTCTCACATTCGTCACCCATCCTCCCCTCTTGCTGTGTTTTCCCACTTTCGCAGCTGTGCCTCACTGTTATGGAAGAAATGTTACTCCTGCGCTCAGACAAATATGTGGGTCTCCTCCTGAGGTTCAGCTCATTTGGGAAAAAGCAGTTTATGGGACAAAGTGCAACTTACAACCAACGACAAGGGCGACTTATGGTAAATAAATGGTACATATATTTTCTCCTTTTAATAACCCTCTAAGCTTTATTGATTTATGACCTATATTGCAGTTTTCTGAAGTTGTGCCTGCTTTACTCATTGCAACTTACCAACACAGGTGCGTCCGTCGTAGCCAAACTCGTAGCCGCTCTGGCACTGACAGCGGTGGCTACCGGGTAGGTTCATGCACTGAGCGTGAGCGCCGCAAGAACTCAGGACCTCGGCACACTCATCTATGTCTGCAGTGAGGGAAAAGGAGAGGAAGTGAGATGTAAGCTCAATGGCTTGTAAAGCAGGAATCCCCTATATGACAACAGAGTGCGTCTGTCAAAGCTGTAATTAAGGGTCATTACTGGTGCTTTTAGTGTGTGTACATCGAGCGTCTGCTTGTTTGTGTTATTATAACATGCGCCCTTCACCTGGATTCTTTAACTACATTGTGCAAGACAGTGGACAAAAACCACACATAGACCATGTGACCAGAGAGAGCTGCTGAGGCCCAGCCATGGGAACTGAGGCTGAGCCTGGGGCTTTCCTAGTGCTGTCAGCAGGAGAGAGAGACCGGCTGCTGGGCTAATGACAGGCCCTGCACCAGCTTAAAGGCCCAGAAGTCCCCGTTAAATGAGCGTGGAGGATGAGGAGGGAGACGTGGGAGGAGAGAACGGAGAGAGGGTACAGATGATTTCTTACATCCAGCCTGTGCTTGACCCCTGATGTCTACTGGACACATGTTGACGAAACACAGACACGCAGCCTTGAACTGTCTTTACCTTTGTCTGCATGTGTTTGTGTGTAAGTGTCTGAGTGAGAATAGAGGAAAGCACAATAACAGTATTTCCAGAGAGGCTCTTGAACAGTACATGTTTTGTGCTCGTATATCATGAGAGGGGGGTTTTCCTAACTTTATTAATAGCGGGGTCTTTCAGTTTAAGAGCAGGATTTAAGAGGGTTTTGACTGAACGCACTATAAAATCTAAATACACCTAAATATATATGACTAGTTACCGTAACAGTTGCGTCCGTCCCCTCTATAACCAGTCGCACACTGGCACTGGAAGGCCTGGCCCTCTAGTGGGATGCACTGGGCTGTGGTGTCACAGTCGTGAGTACCGGCGTAGCAGGGGTTGATCACTTCTGTTCCTGTTGGCTCAGCTGCAGACAGACAGACGGGAGACGGACAAGATGACATCATTGACACACCGGCACAACAAGTCTGTCGGCTAGATGCACAACTGCAGCTGAAAGATTGCTTTGACATGAAGACCCAGGTACAACAGGGATGCAACCGTGTTAAAAGACGTCTTATAGTGAGTAAATGTCCAGCATTCTAAAGTCTTACTTTACTAAACATGATTGAAACATTTGTGTGGGAGACACAGGTCAAGAAAAATCTACCACACAGACTCTCCAACACTCCACATGTCCTGAACTGAGGTGAATTGAGATGTGGATTATTCAACAGTTAAAGTCCAGTGATTACAACGATGATTACAGGACAGCCTAACCAGACGCACATGTAAAAATCACTCCAGACAAATTCCCATAGAGCGGTTTCCTCTCAGAAAATGCCTCCCTTCATGTTCTCAATATTGAACATATGGACAAGGTTAGACACACACATACATGAGAGAGACACACAGACGGAGGGATGAGTGAGCGGATGTGTGTTCAGAGTTTCCCCCTGATACTGACGCATGGCTCAGACACACAAGACATTTTAAACAACAGCCCTCAGACTCATTTCTGGAAAATCCGAGAGAAACAAAGCAGAGGAAAGAAAACAATGGGAATTCATTTGAAAAGAATATAAAAGACTCATTTGGACTTGTTATTTTTCTTTTTCTTGTGGTGGATTCAAGTGTTTTTTAATCTAAACATTATTCATCTGAACATTTGTATGGTTTTGTAGTTTTAAATTTTTAATTTCACTGGAAAACCCCTAATTCTAAATGGCTTTAAACACACAATATGTAACTTTGGCCTCAAGACGTCTCCAAATCAAAACAATAACAAAATCCGTAGTTTCGTGAAGCAGCATGGGATCATGGGAGTTGCATGACTCAGGCGTAAAGGATACCACAGATGTTTCTCTGAGTTTAAACATTGTTCGAGACATTTTGGATAATGTCAGTACACAAGTCGTCAAAATATAAAACAGGTCATTTTAATTAATTGTTGTATATTTAATCTTTATAATGGATCCAGCTCTTCAAAGTGTCGACATGTGCTCGATCTGCACCGGCACAAAGCATCAGAGGGAATAAAATGAACATGAAGAATATATCTGTACTTAATGATGTTTATCTGACTTAACCATCAGGGTCATAATCCCAGATAAACAGCAGCACACACACACACACACACACACACACACACACACACACACACACACACACACACACACACACACACACAACCCTAACCCTACATAAATACACAGAGAGAGGGAGAGAGAGAGAGAGAGAGAGAGAGAGGGAGAGAGAGAGAGCGAGAGAGACAGCTTGCTTCCATCTCCTGAGGCCAANCACACCTAAACTAACTTAAATACACAGAGAGAGGGAGAGAGAGAGAGAGAGAGAGAGAGAGGGAGAGAGAGAGAGCGAGAGAGACAGCTTGCTTCCATCTCCTGAGGCCAAGGAGCAATTTTGGTTCATTATCAGAGAGAGAGAGAGAGAGAGAGAGAGAGAGAGAGGGAGAGGGAGAGAAAGACTCTTCAAAGTGCTGATTGTGGCCGGGAAGAGAGAGAGAGATGAGAGGGTGAGATGCAACATGCACATGGACGGTAGAGAAGACTGAAGGATAATTAAAGAGAGAGCGAGAGAGGGAAAGAGAGCGAGAGAAGGCGGGCGGGAGAGAGGGGTGGAGAACACGGACACACACACACACACACACACAAGCCAAAAACCAAGTCTAAACCCTCAAACAGGCCTTTGAAAAAGTGAGGACCGTCCAAAATGTACTAAGTGCAAGTATACATACACAGACTGGTGGTACAGGGGCGTAATAACGCTACACGATGACCAAGGTGCACTGGCGATCGTTGGATTCCGAGGAACCACCCTGAGTGCAACGTAGAATTATCCGTCACCACTGACTTTTACTAACACGACGGAATGACCTGAAATTTACCAGAGTATGATGTTTAAAGTGGTGAAAGCTGCATCTCAGAGGGCGGGCAGACTGAAAATGCAAGAGGCGCGTAATGTCCAGTCTGAGTAATAGAACTTTGAAAGGTCATGTTACTCATTCTGCTCTTGCAGGACGTCTCGGCCTCTGCTGTGTCCATTTTAATCCTGAGGGGGGACAGCAACGAAAACTCATCGGCGGGGGTGATGAAAGAATTTGACTTTCATTGGTCGTTCTCTCTCTCTCTGTCAAACTCTCTCGGTCTCTCACCCACTCCCTCTCTCGCTTGTTCTACCAGTTCGTGAGATTCTCATGACATCAATGGGCAGCTATTCTGCCCGGCAACCCCCCACTAAAAAAATCTGTCATTGGCTGGGATATTATTTCCAAGAAAGTGTAAAAACACGCGGGTGCGTGTGCACACGCACACACACACACGCACACACACACCACTTAACCCGTGTTTACAAAACCCCTGATCCCCAAAAGCTCTTCCAGCTGTGCACTGGGTTTATCAGTGTGTGTTCATGTGCATGTGCGAGACGTGTCCTCGTAACCTTCTTAATCAACGTGTTGACGTCCAAATGACAGAAACTTGGTCTGAATTCAAAACACGGAGAGAGAAAAAATCCAGCCTCTCATTCTTTCTGTCTAAAACTCTTTATTTTCCTCTCCATCTTTCGAGGGCTCTCATCTCTGCCTCTCTGTCTATCTGGTTCTCATCAGATAAAGAAAGTATGACCACTGTGTGCTGACAGAAAAACACAAAACACATGTGCACAGTCTTTCTGTCGGTATCTGGAGAAAAGATGAGTTCAAGTGATGTAAGCTCAACTGGAGAATCCTCCTCGTCTCTGTGACTTGCTGGATTTATCGTTCACGTGGGGGAAATAAAGAGTGAACAACCATGAAAACATAAATATAAACGGATACATCCAATAAGACTGTGTGCAGCCATTCACACAAATGCAGAGATGATATGTGAAGCATGAGACGTGACAGATCACATTCACTTAGGATAATGATATTTGCATAAATCTATGCGTCTAAATCAATATTTATAGATCTCTATAATATTATTTAATATTTATCATAAAATTGTCTCTAATACTCTGTAGAGACACAAAGCTGAGATTTTCCTACAGGAATAATACAAAACATGTGGGTATCATGCAAGTGCCTGTAAAAGGCAAATTGAAAAAGACATTTAAAAATCGAGAAAACAAACCTCAAAATTGCATCGACACTGATTTTGAACGATCAGCAGGATCCGGCGGTTAACCTCCTATCAAAGTTCTAATGCCACAGAAAATGTTGTGGCTTTGGTTTTGTGTTCTGGCCCCACAAAGTAATAGTTTTCTCTTTACACTCATTTCTTTCTTTCTTTGAGTCTCTGTTCAGATTTAACTGTTTAACCAGCTCAAATCAGTCGGTGTCAACACACTGTCTGTGCGTCTGTCATCAGCATGAGCAAACCAAGCTCTTCTCATATTCAGTCAGCTGTTGTGTAAGTCACGGCGTTGTAATCCTCACAGTGGTGTCGTATGTCTAATAAACCCAGCAGAGGGTAACCCCGGACATCATGACATTGTTTTTCTATGGTTTCAATGTATCATTATGCCCTCAGCCTGCAGCATGTGTTGAAAGCCAAACTCTGTTCAACTCTGTGCCGTGGTTTGGCTGAGGTTTCTGTGGCGGCTCTACAACAATTACCAGGCGAGTCGGGTCTCTGGAGGAGGCGTTCTCAACTTAATGACTGACAGTGACGGCCTGGAGTTAATCTCGGGCAGTCAATCAGATAGTCAGTTCTTCATGATATTCACATTGAAGACATCATTTCCACTGACCGGGCCCCGTGGTCGTAAAGACAGTTTGTTTGTTGTGTGACTGACTCACCTCCGACTGGGCTGATCTTGTTGGTGATGGCGTATCTCAGGATCCGCTCCTCCTTGACGTACATCACAAACACCCTCTCCATGGTGATCTGCAGCGTCTCCAGGGCAGCCCCACGGTTGCCATGTGTGCAGTCGCGGTAGGTGATGTTTTGTTTGAGCTGGAAGGAGAAGGACTCTGAGCCTCGCTCTGCCGATACAACTGAGAATTCCCTCACGGACGAGGAAGTGACGACTGCAGAAAGAGAAAAATAATTTCAGGGAAAAGACGCCAGGAAATTTATATCAAGTATTCATGTCTTGTGGTTGTCACTGTTACCGGATGGGTAGTACTGGTAGGTCTCCTTGAAGGGGTTCATGGAAACTTCAGAACCAGGAGGTAGGAAGGGCACGCTGCCACTGACAACAGTATCCACCGTGAGGTGGTTGTGGTCGTCAAGGCCACGTCCTGTCTGAATGATTGACAGATGCTGGTTGCCGGGGTAAAAGATTATCTCTGCACGACGCGTGAACTCAGCACCTGGAAACACATATAGTCAACGAATCAATCAATCAATCAATCAACCAACCAACCAATACTTCTTTAGTTTGAAAAACAAAGTACAGCAAACCTCTGCCTAGGCTAACCGCTTATCTCGCCATAATAAAGAAAAAACCAGGATCCGCCAATTGATCCGCTTTCACTTCAAAATGTATTGAATTGAACCGTGGCCCGTTCCACACCCTTCCACCAAGTTTCACTAAAATGGGTTCTGTAGTTTTTTTGCAATCCTGCTAAGAGACGGACACACGGACTAACGCAATACACACATACCCTTCTTGGCAGAGGTAAAAAGTTGAATGTCTGCAATAGATACATCTATACACACACACACACACACACACACACACACACACACACACACACACACACACACACANCACACACACACACACACACACACACACACACACACACACACACACACACACACACACACACACACACACACACACACACACACACACAGCTGTTTCCTATTAGACAGGGAGGTGGAAGCCTGATATCACATCACATCCCTGGAGACATGCAGCTGGCTGGGAGACTGAAGACTCACATACACACACAACGTCCTGGCTGTAGAGGAGTTTCCTCATCTGTGCACAGATGTGCTCAAGAGTCAAGATGTACAAGGCAGTTTGTACACACACACACACACACATACACACACACGGACAGACACAAACTGTTTACCTGCAGTCTTGAACCCAGCTTGGCTGTTGGGCAGCTCCAGAGCAAACAGCCATCCGAAAAGCTCTCCTATTGGTGCAACTGGCATCAGAGCCCAGCCCACTGGCTCAGGTACCTGACCAATCAGCAGAAAGTTTAAAAAAGATCCCTCGACCCAAACAGAAGCAAGGTGTGTAGATATTGGCTGGATACACGATGATGCAATATAAATCCTTAAACCCTACATTTCAAATTGCAGATATAAATAAAATTGAATAGTTAATTTTTGCTGATCCTACCTCACTGATGGCGGTGTACGCTCTCCCATCTCCCACCACGATGTAGGCATGCAGATCAATGTTGTTCAGTTGTACTGGAGTCGAACCCACGGTCACGGTACCGCTCACCTTGCCGCTCACGCGCTGGGGCGCACCTGGAGGAGCAGCACGGGAATGACAGTAATGATAAAACAACTTTAACATGTGAATGGATAAATGGATAATTAAAGTAAAAATAGGAATAACATGTACGTTACCCTCAGGTAAACAGTGGCGTCCGTTTCCATAGAAGCCAGGTTGGCAGTGACAGCAGAAGCCGGTGGCATAATCGGAGCAAAATGCATTCTGGGAGCATTGTTGCTGGAATCTGCAACAAGACAGAGACCACTCACATTTATCGATGGAGATTTTGAACAATTGTAAGATTTTGTTAACATCAGATGAAGTTTCCACATACCTGGCACAGGTTTCCTTATTCTCTGTGGTGTATTGAATCACTGAGAGAGAGCAGGAGACATTTTTATTATTACTATGCTTCACATATACACTGAATATGTAGTTAACATCAATTATACCAAAGTATGATTCAGATAAATATCAATAAAAAAGACCAGGATCTAAATAGAGACCATATTCACAAATCACAATTTCCCCATAGGGCTTAACAATGAGAACAAGGTGCAACATTCTCTGTTCGTACTGATGATGAAACTTGTCGAGGATGATCAGTCCTGACGGCAATGACTCAGATCACCACGTGGATCCTGCACAATTTTTGTTTTGATCTTTTTTGGCAGGTAGTTGTTTTGGGATTAGGGAAGGGAGGGAAAACAGCATACCGGTATTACAATGTTTTTTATTTTTTATCTGAGTTACATGAATATTAAATCCATGTTACTTATATACTTTTATACATATGTACATTATATGTACTGTGCAGACACTTGCTGTCATTAATTTCTGGAAAACACTTTATCTGTTGACAGGTACGTCTTCTTCTAGTGTTTCATGACTCCAACTTGAGGATGTAAGTTAGTATGTAAAACGCTTGTGTGCATTTATTTGGAAGTAACTGGAAGGACTATTAGCTGTAGGATTTACAGGTTGTTCATATTTATAGATTCTTTGTGCTTATCGTGTGTGTGGGATGATTTAAATGTTTAAAAGCAGTTAAAAAACAGGGAAGAGGAGCCACACAGCACACACACAAACTAATTTGTATGACTTTGGAGAGGAATAATTGTGTTCTAGTTATTGCTTGTGCTAAGTAAAACAGTTAAACTTTACGGAGTGGTCCTGTGGATGTTTTTGTAACTGGGAGAGACTGAGAACACATTCTTATTTATGGCAAAGGCTTGTTGGAGCAGAGGAGGGAGTGTTGAACACACACACACCTGGGAGCTGCCCAGCACAACGGCAGTATTGTACTACCAGCTGCTGAGCCGCCCCGCAGCAGAGGGCGAGCTAGTCTTACCCTCCTCTCTCTCCCAGTCACCGTCCATTCATGCATTTATACGGTTTGTTTGTTGGCATGTGCATTTGGTTTGTCTCTTACCTCCTGTGTCAAAATCTACGTCCTCTTCGTCCACGCTGACCACATGACCTCCGGGGGAAAGACGTGGTTCATTTCTGTGAGGCGGGTACACGTTCACCACCTCCAGAGGAACCTACAGAGGCAGATACAGGGGGAATCACGCTTGCAGCTTCAAATATGTGCCAAGACTTCTTAACTCTCTCCAGATGCTGTGATCTGCACATACTTTACAAATTGTTCATACAGTATGTAGAGTATCATGATCATCACTTTTGCCAGCATTTGTTTATTCTTCAAAAACGTCTCCAAAACAGCATTCCACCATAACCTCAGCATTGACAAAAAAGTGACTGCAATTTCAAATCATTACTACAAACCTCTGACTGCACTGTCAGTATAAAATTCCTCTCTTTTTTCACAACCATTGCAATAAGTTAGGTTTCCAGCTATTGTTAACCCTTTGCCACACGGGACAATCTCAAGAACTGAACTCAAATATATACTGCATGCGTAATCCAACAAAAACACAGTAGGGTGAAAACATAACCTCGTTGGCAGAGTTAAAAACTACCAAATAAAATTTTTATTGAGAAGCATAAAAAACGTTTGTCTGCCACTTTTAAAGATGTTTTATAGGAATAATACTTTCAGGGAAATGTTACCTGTGGTTGCTGTTCCTGCTGAGCGCCTCTCTCTACCACTGCCTCTGGAGGATTATAGGGAACGTACTGCCTCTCTGCTGGCTCAACATTGTACCTGGGGTCAGAGGTCAATGGTACATCTTGGTTGCCATGCGACATGTGGCGGCCAGTGTCTTCTGAAGGTGAGGAGGGGGCGTCGGGACTCGCTGGTCGAGGAGACTCAGGGCGGTCACCACCAGCAGGGGCTGGCTGGAACTCAGGGTCCTCCCCTGTCAGAGGGTAATCGTCCTCCGGTTGGTTATCAGGCTCAAACGTATTGTCTGGATAGTCGTCAAACTCACTATACTCAGGGGTGGTGGTGTCCTAGAAGCACAAACCATGACTCGACATCAGAGGAGTTCTCTGCAGATTTTATCACAAGAACAAATGATGACCGAGAATTTAATGGATAAATGAGAACAACACAATTACCAGGAGGAGGCCTCCGGTTGGTGAGGTGGCAAGGAGGCCACCAATGGACGCAGGGACAATGTTGTCGAAAGAGTAACGGTTCCCAGTGTGGAAAAGCCATATTCCTGGTATTCCTGTGTTTCCAACCCTGGAGAGGAGGAAACAAGAGTAAATACAACACTCAGCCATTTCTCTAAGATTAGCTTTGACGAGCCTTAGTTAAGTTTGAAGTTTGGATCATAGACTCTATGTAAAGATGGACGACATGATAGCTCCACAAAAAGTGAAACCAAAGCGTCTCCATTACCCCCTAGTGGCTGGCTGCAGTATATTTCTTGGACCAAAATGATTAGTAATAATAAAGAAATGTTCTAGATTTGAAAGGAAGTTTAATACTTACTGGTAAAGGTTTTTAACACTCTGCTCGTCCCCTGTAACGCTGTAGTGAGGTCCCTCCGTCCGGGAAAAGATCAGATATGTAATTTCTCCTCTGCTGAATCCAACTCGAGCAGGAAGCTCGATCTCAACATTATAGGATTCCTAAAAGCAGAGAAGCAGAGTCAAACAAATAGTGTAAAAAAACGTGCGTGACTGTAAAACTGACTGTAGTCGCACAATATCCAAGCTCAATTAAAGCCTTTTATCTAGAAACCTCACCTTGGGTCGTGTCCCAAAGAAGTTCAGGCCACCTTCAGGATAGAGGAAGAGAGCGTACGAGTCCGTCTCATCATATCCGATTACTGCCTGGAACGTGTTGACCTGAAGACAAAGAGAAGAGACAACAGTGTGAGACAGACAGGGACAAAGTCTAAAAGGAAACCATTGCAATTTTGCTTCAAAACGAGGGCTTTGGACAAAACGTGATGGCATGGAATTATTTTTTTCTCATATTGGGACTTTATTCTTGTATGAGTAAGTTTTTATTCTTGTAAAATTATGACTTTTTTCTCGTTATATGACTTTATCCTCATAAAATTGTGACTTTTATTCGGCTCTGCTCGTCACCTCCTGTGTGCTCAGTCAGCCTCAAATTATTCTAACACTCACTCCTCATATTTAAACTTCACACCTCCCCTCTCCTCCTCCCTGTGTCTCCTTCCCTTCCTCTCTCATCACTCGCTCCGCTGGGATTCATGTTTAGACTTCTCACCCTTTACAGCACCCACCTCCAGTCACCAGCGTTTACTGACACAATGACCCGAGGGATGGGACTCCACAAACATCTGTTTAACACTAATTAGGATGAATTAAATTAACTGATGGATCCACAAACGTTTTGTAGCTGAGCTTCTTTTTTTAAATGGATGATTGTGACTTGCGGAACTTTGTTTCCCACATGTGTCATCCAACTCAGTCTGCCTTGCAAAACCACAGTTTAGTGAACGAAGGGACAACTGTGAGTGAGCCCATGTTGCTTTCCTTTGGGACAGAATCAGATTATCTCTCTCTACACACAAACACACACACACACACACACACACACCAAGACGGACACACCCCTCGCTCTCTCAACCCCCAGCCCAGATGTTCATCTCCACAGCTGTCTTCCTGTGTGTCTGCATTTCTTTCACGACGATGTTACAACATGCACACATTTCTCATTACAACGTGCGATATCGGGTGTGCACACACACACATACACAAACACAGATGTCCCTCCACATATGCTCAGTGTGTTGCTAATTGTTTACATCAACATCTTTAAACAATCTTGTTGTTTGTGGGCTAAGAGACCTTGTGGCCTCTGGGCTCTGTCTAATTACTGGTGGGGTGGGGGGGGTCTTTCTTTTTTTCAGTCTGTCTTCGGGGAATGAGGAGAAGACGCTGGAGCTACGAGAGAGGATCTGCTTTTCCTTTGTCGTTAATATTCCCTCTAGATGTTTACATTCTCCTCGCCTGCCATCCCTCCTTTCTTCTCGGAGAAGAAGAGGTACAGACAGATGGAGAGAGAGATGAAAGAAAAAAAGGGGCCCTACAATAAGAGAAATATGAGGAGAGACAGTTTCCAGCCAAAAAGAATATGTAGCTTGTGTGTTTGCAACAGAATCCTGATTATTTATTTCCCCCTCTCAACGATGGTATTTAAGTCCCTTTCCTGTGTTTATTTTCCTCTGTCCTCAGATAACATTAGTCCTGGTATTTAAAGTGGCTGCATGGATGCCAATGGCCATCACCACCAGCTGAAGTTTACTGCAGACACTCGTGTTCCCTCGGGTTGATGATTTAATTAGTTGCTGATCATCAGATATTTTTTTATGTGGGACAGAGCCAGACGTCTCTTTTATTTTCATATTTACCAACAGATGTGAGAGTGGAACTGCTCTTTACATCTTGGCAAGAAAGCAGAGCTGCCAAAATGTTGCACTATTCCTTTAATTTGTGTCTTCTTCTTCTCCTCCTTTTCCACCCCCTCCTCTCTCTGTGTGGTCATGTGCTGCGTCTGAGTCTGTGTAAAGTTGTCCTGGGGTTTTAAAGACTCACAGCTGGAAGACAACAAATTGCGGCCAACATACATCAAAGGCATGTGTGCAGCTCAGTATGTACGTGAATGTGTGTGTGCTGTGTGCTCTGACACCCACAGCCGCACACACACACACAACCCTTGACCTCCCCAGAGGCACCGTGTCACACCTTTTTTAATTAGCGTCCTCAGACTGATCAGACACAAGCGTTAATCGTCTCCAGGACTGACAAACGTTTGTTGTCGGGGTCGCCCTCCTCCTCATCAGTCTGCACAGTGGGGGTGTGACAGTCTGGAAATACCCAACAGCTTAGATGACAACACTAAAAGTTTGTTGATAGATTATTAGATTTGTGCCTTGTCAGACAAGCGAGGAGACAAGTCCCAAGGTTGTTTAACCCCATAAAAAGTCTGCAGAATGTCCAAAACCTTTCTTCTTCTCTGTCTTTTTTTCATTCTTTATATTTGTTTCACGCGAGCAACCAAATGCAACGCTGATTGTTTTACAGAAGAGATGTTCCTCTTCTCCGTGACGGAGTGTGGCCATTTGGAACAGCTACGAGCACGTTCACCTTCTCTGGCATGTTCTCGTTCCTTCTGACTGCACCGCTGCTTCAACTTTAAGTTTCTACCACATAACCCCCGATCCTCACCGTGCATCATGAATGGTTCAGAAAAGCTCTTATTTGCATTAGAGAACTAAACAGAGAAAGAAGTTTGGTTTAAAAGTCGGACACCTCTTCTGCGTCTCAAACTTTGGGATCCCAGTGTGTGTTTTTACATTTAACTGTTTTAATGTGGACGTGGTCTGATTCAACCGAATAAAGAAAAGTTACCAGACATTTACCACACGTGAAAGAGCTGCAACGTGTATTTGCAGTTGTGAAACAACGTTAAAACTGTGTCTGCTGAAGAACAGATGCTGTTTCCTCTCTGCAAAACAATATTTTGGAACAAACCAAAATAGAAGCTTTTAATGCAGTTGAGCTTTTTCACTAGTGGACTTTGCCAAACTGAAATGAAGCTGAACACAGTTAAGTTCTAGTCTCCATCTTGACTGACACTCACTGCAACAAATGTTCTGTGTCATGTTATAATTATCTGGAGCTGGATCCCTCTCTGGTTAGCCCTGAACATTCCCAGGAAGAGATCAGGATGAGTTAATGTGCTACACTTGTCTGTTGGTTTCTGGTTTTCCAGCTTGTCGGCCGCAAAACAGCTGCAAACAGGGAGCGAGAGACGGAGACCAGCTGCAGTCCAGTTGCCAGCCTCACCAAAGTGCTACAAACGGAACTGCCTACAGCGTGGGAACTGGCATGCACACACGTACACACACACACCTACACACACACAATACAGCCCAGGCCTGTGGCCAGGAACAGTCCAGTCAGTATTTCGCCATATGAAAATCCCTTCCTCCTTTTTCTCCCTGATATAACTTCAGTGGAAAAGGATCCTCAGCTCATCTGAAGCTTGAGGAAATTGTTCGACATCTCAGCTCAGTGAGGCTTCAAGATCAGGAGCACATTTTCTTGGATACGGAAATTTTGTGAACTTGAACTTCTTTCTTTCTTGCATCTTTCAGACGGGTAAGAGTTATCAGTGAAGCCATCAAGATTCACAGTCTCAACTTTGCTCCGAGGCCTTTTCGACTACATTTATACTTTAACAGCTTTTTAAACCAAAACAATCTCAGTCCACACAAGCGTTTTTAACTCTGTATCAGTTTAAATCCACATCAATACTAACACGCCTGCAAACGCACATCACTGCTCAGGTACACTAGGCATGCACGTCCCACTCAGGTCCCGCTGGACACGGGAATAGTCGCAGATTGCATGAATAACATCCCGTCTCGGGGCATGTAAACATTTGTATCATTGTACAATACAGAGCTTAATGTGATGAATCAGAGGAGACATGACTGAAAAGACCCAAGCAAGCAGGTGTCTACAAAACAAAACCACACAACACAACACAACACTGTTTCCATCCAGACTAAAATGCAGCCCTGCAGTTTTCAGACCAGCAGCGTTTCCTAACGTGTCGCAGCTCTATAACTCCGGAGCAGTGTGGACACCAGGTGTATCTGTAGCAGAGCTGATGCGCTCTCACATTAAACGCAGTGATGTGGCTGTAACCTGAGCTGCACAGCCACAAGGTGAGGTGACCGCCTCTGTTTCTGCTGCAGAGGTTTGCTCAATGGTCACTGATAAACAGAATCATGGCATGTGGACAGAATAACATATTCTGAAAGCTGAAGTTCAGTGAGGGTCTGCTTTGAACCAGGATGAACGCAGTTCAAGGGATACCCCCGCTGCAAGGGGCCACCAGAAACAACAAATAACGAGAAGAGTAGTGAAGAGAACAGAACAGAAGATGTCCGCAAAAATCCGTTACGTTATGTCCTGCCTCCTGTACGGTCTACCCACATTCTTCATATGTGGAAGGCAAACTCCAGAAAATGTCACAATTATTTTTGAGACATCACCATTCCTTTTATAAAATGATGAATTCTTATGATGTGTATTTACTCCCTCAAAAAGTGGATTTAGTTTTAAGTTACTTTTTAGAATGATGGAATTAATGTCAGTGGAAGATTAACATTAAGCATGGACCAAGATGGCAGGATTAGTATGTTACTCAGTGTAAATCCTGGTCAACATCAACATACAGAGGGTCATATTCTCCGTGTAAATGACTCTGGTCATTAGCAAATTCAGCGACATGGCAGCAGACATACTGTGTGTGTTTAAGGTTTCAAGTGAAGCAATTACATTCCAATTATGATAATAGCTTCTTAATTTCATAGAAAACACAAATCCACTTCTCAGCAAGTGAACCTTCCCACTTTGGCTATTTTTCTGTTATTTCTTCCCTGGCTGCTCCTCTCATCTCCATATGCGACCCCCAAACACTACACACTCTGTCCCCCTCCCCCAGTCCCGTCACCCCTAATACACATCCTGACAAACACACACCTCAGGTTAATCAGTTCACACACACATACCGCTCTACGCCCAGTGCACCCCACCCAGCACCTCTGGCTAATCACTTCAAAGGAAGATGCTATCAGTCCGAAGAAAGACCCACTGAGGTAAATCCTGGCCAAGATCCGGACTGCTTCGATCTGACAAACTGCACAGACCCTTTGAATAACAAAAACAAGTTCCCTCCTCGCACATGTAAAGACACATTAGACTTAAAGACGTGGGCATCGTCCTCTAATCAGCGTTTGGCCAACAGTGGAATGGGATTTAAAGTATTTGAGGCTCGGAGAAGCTGCAGTCACCAAATTGTCCATTTGGCAGCAAAGCAATCAGATTATTAGGAATTTTGTAAGAGGCCTAATGCTGCTTATCCCTACTGGAGCTATTTGCATGTTTAGCTTTTGATCAATCAGGGAGAAAGAAGAAGGTATAAAAGAAACCAGGCGATGGGAGTAAAGAGAAAGACAAACACAGACGAGAGGGAGGGACAGATGCAGAGATCCCCTGGCAGTTTTCCCTCAATCTAACACTCCCTCCATCCCACATGCTACACACCAGGAACAACGAAGCACTGTTTCTTTGATCGATAAGTTCAGTAGAAGTGGCTGTAAGACGTCTTTCCCATTGTTTAACTTAAACAAAGCCCCTAGTTCTCCTCTGGCTAAGCTTTTATTCTGCAGGTCTGTCTTTTTTAACAGAACAATGAAATGTGGTTGTAAAGAAAACAAAGTGTTGAGTTTGGTTCAATTCCAATTCCACACACAACAAATATAGGAAGATAAATTAATAATTGATGCATATTTAATTTACTTGGGTTTAAATCCTGCTTTTACAGGCACGTGGAGATGTTTTCAATCTGCGAGTAACTTCTGTCAAAAATGCCACTTCCTGTCAGAGTCATAACTGAATCACATCTGAACACTTTCTGTGCAGTTTGTAGATTTTCACTTTCTGAAGATGTTCTATTCATTCACTTAAAAAGAGAAGAATTCCATTCACAGATGTCTGCATGTAGATGATACAGCTAATTGCTAATTTGTCTTAAAAAAACTGGACGCAGGGTGTAGTCCACGGCTGACCGACACCACAGCAACATCATACTTCCTGTTTACATTTCCCTAAGCCCACAAATTGTGGGAGCTGTAATTAGAAAATGAAGCATGGTTGTGCCCAGCAATCCAAGTGAAACAAAAATAAAAGAGGAATAGAGTTTAAAAGCATTTTGAGCGGCATTGGTCTCAATTTTGCCTGAGGGGTGCGAGGAGGTGACTACATTCGGACAAACAAATTCAAACTTTATGAAATATCCTCAAAACGCTGAAGGATCCTCGAGGTGAAATTCCGTTGCTGGAGCCTTTTATTGAAATTCAAGTTATTGATTAAAAGGCTGACAAACAAGGAGGGAAGTAATGTCCAACAGGGCGTGACAACACCAACGGGCACGGCATGTTTGTGTCTACCTGTGTGTGAGTTGCAGGGGGGGGGGGGTAACGAGTTGGGAAGGGAGGGGACACTTTGATGACCCTAAGAGATGACCTCTCACCCCTTCAAAAGGTTAAGAGGCAGATTAGGAGGGGAAGGGGGATTACAAATAGACCCCCCACCCAAGGCTGATTACAAGTGATGCACAACCTCCAGGAATTTGGGGCTGCGTGTTTCACAAGACAACACTTTAGTGAGGAATATGTGGGTGTTAGCACAACTTTTATTGGTGAATGAATACACACACAGGCAAGGAGGCCTCATCCCTCCTTCTGTCTTACCTTGTTTGAAGGCCCATTGGTTCGAGTTTGCTCTTCATACGGCGCCACGTTCTCCCATGTTGCCACCACAGCGTGTGTGGGAGTGAATTTTGCATCTGGAAACCCTCGGTGTACTTCCTGGGTGAGCAGATGAATGAATGAATGAATGAGCGATGGAGGGAAGGAAGGAGAAAAGAAAAAAAGGAAACATGGAGTGAACAATGGATGGAGAACTGAAAGAAAGGAAGAATCCAAATCTGTAGTTAAGCACTGCACAGTAATGCTCTTGGAACTGATATCTCTGGTTCCTGTGGATAGACAGACCTGGGCCACTTTGTTGAGCACGCTGGGTGTTTCTGTCACCCGGTAGTAAATCTGTCCTCGCCCTCCGCTGGTGTCGATGTCGGCCAGGAACGGAGCCACCACAGGGAAATCTGTGGGGAAGCCGTCGTCAACATATTGCTTTTCCATCGGCAAGTCCTGGGCGGATATGATTCCATTGGTGGCCACCTAGAAGCACAGAGAATCACAGATGAATGAATCCTGCAGAATACTGATGACCAAGAATTATCTGGATCACTACCATGAAACCTTCATGAACATTTATCCCCTAATAAAGTAATACACACCCCAGGAACCACATTATGAATCACTATGTTACCTTGTTGTCGCAACCCCAGAGAGGTGGAAAGTACATTTACTCAAGGAGGTACTTTGATTGTTTCCATTTTATTCTAACGCACACATTCATTTGAAATTTATATCAACAAAACATGATTTGATAAAATATGATGCAAAGCAGTTGAATCCAGCTACAGGATTAAAAATTACGTTTGCTGATAATTGAGCCAATAAGAGATATGCATGAATGAAATGTTAAAATGTAAATACACTGTAGAGGGGGGAGTTTAGATGTGAGTGAATTCTGATACAGAAACATCTGCATCAGCTCATATTGAACCAACAGTCACTGCTGTGATTTAACATAAAAATAAAAGCTCTGCTCAGCTGAACACATCACCTGCAAAATAATGACTTTAGAGCTGAACTGCACAGTCGGAGAATAAAGTTACAAACAATTACAAGCATTCAAATGAGTGTGAATGGACGTGTACTTACATAGAGCTGAGTGAAGAGGGAGTTGTAGAAGTATAAGGGTTTGGGCAGGGTCAGAACTCTGGAGGTTTCATCGTCGCCCTCAGTCAGAATAGAGTCCCCACTTAAAGAACCATAAGGGAACATGTCAGCCCTCTGGATGGCTGTAACCACACTGCAGCTCCAGCACAGCAGACACACGGCCAACGTTGCCCCTCTCTCCATGACTGTAGAGCCGGGGGTGACTGAGCAGCTCTGCACTGTGAGGGATCAGAAGGAGAGAGGCACAGATGGACACTGAGAGAGAGAGGGAGCAGAAAGAAGAAGGAGAACACAGTGCTCCTCTGCACAAGCCCCTGAGGAGGGAGGGAGGGAGGAGTCTAGACACGCTACGATTGGTCAGAGGAGGGTTGAGTGACAGCAGGCCCACTGCTGGATGTAACATCTGGCTTGTATTAAAGAAAAGACAAATAGAGCATTTTTAATCCGGATGTAACTCAATCTGTTTCACAACAATGAATAAGACACATTGTGAAACCTCTTCTACACACACACACACACAGGTTTGTGCAGCTGTACTTGTCAGGACTTTACATTGACTTCCATTCATTGTGTGGAGCCTAACTAAACCTTACACCTAACTTTAACCATGACCAATTCATGACTCACCCCCCCCCCCCTTAACCTAACCACGACTCACACCTCACCACTAACCTTCACCAGGAGCTCAGCAATTACGTTAAACCTCATTAGGGTCATGAGCTGTGGTCCCCATGAGGTCTCCTGGTCCTGAGAAGGTCAGTGTTTTATACTGGGAAAGGCCCTAAAGAGGAGAGAGAGAGATAAATAGACAGATTATTCATTAGCATACATTACATCACTGCAGCTTTTCATTTGACTTTATATGATTCACTTGTTGAAAGTTATTGAACCTTAAAACAATTGTGCCACCTGCTGTCTGAAACAGTTTACTGCAGGATGCTAAAACGTACTGCAGCACTTTTAGGCTTCTAGAAACTATTTTAAAATCTTATCTACAGCTAAAAGATTGAAATGGTATCGATATTCATTATAAAAGTATTGATTATTTATTTTTCTTTTATTCTTTATTCAAAATCACATGTTGCATCACTAATAATAATAATAATCATAGGACTTTTCATAGCGTAAAATGCAGCTCAACATATTAACACACGATAAGTTGTTAAAACAATAAAATGTAGGAAAAGGGTTAAAGACATGTTACGATTACAATAACAGAAAAGACACAGTTGAATTAATTAAAAGCAAGATCATTATTATCATGTTTTGTCTTTACTTAATTTGAGGAAACTTGTATGTGGACTTGCACTGGTTGTCGGAGGCAAACAGCTGCAGGGCGTTGATTCTAGTTTCATTTTACGACAGTGGGCTGTGATACAAACCAGACAGGGATGTTAAGCATAGTGGAGAGTTCTTCAATGGCCACGTCAGTCAGCTGACTTCAGTCCAGCTCGGCATGTGTTTAACTTACTGGAGACCAGACTCCGGGAGCGAAGCCCAGATGGCTGCAGTGCACGTTTTCCTCTGCGACCTCAGATCGTTCTGTGCCCCCCCCCCACAGGCAGGTGGCTACGGGTTGAGTCAAATGAAGTTAAGACAGATCTCAAAGATAATCAAAGATGAGGGCAGAGGCCAAGGGTCTGTTCCAGTTTACACGCATACAAAACTTGGACCCACAATTAAAAAAACAAAAAACCCTGATCAATGAAATTCTTACTTTGCTCGTTCTGCAGAAATTAAGATTAAAATGAAAATAGAGATTGAACCCAAAAGATAAGAGGTCAAGCATAACACAGACAAGCACACTAATACAATTTACTAATTATAAACATAAAATTAAAAGAAATATTGAAAAAGAAGAGCATACATGCACATTCATACATGTGTTTATACAAATACCTTAACCTTAACCCCACATTAACATATTGGGATTCATCCTAAATTCAACCTTAGTATATGTTTGTAATTACACAGGGTGACCTGTAGGTGGAGGCAAAGGCCCAGTGTATGGCAGCAAAGTACATTATAAATAGAATACCTATATAGTTACTGTGTTAACGCTGAAATCTAGATTGTACTACGTATTTATATGAGTAATGTGTAACATGATAAACTCTAATAACAAAATTCCCTCATATAACAACAGCACATTAACATCTGGATTATCATGCTCTAGGCAGCCTGCGGCGTATAATAATTATTTTGTCACTCTTACTGTATTTTCATTCTCTTGTACTTGATGCTTTGCTGACATTGTTTTTTGCAACAGAGAGAGAGAGACTGACAATAAGTCCAGCCCATGTCAGCACTCTGAGTGACGCCAGGCCCTCGACAAAGGCTGTTTACCAACTACTGTAGGATTAGTGAGTTGAGCCCTGATCAATAACAGAAGTGCTTCTGAATAAAGAGCACACAGAGACAGTGACGATCAGAATGTAATATATCTACAATTAAAGTTTTAGATCGTTAAACTCCCAAGATCTGCACTTGTGGCGGAGATTTTTGCTTTTGGATTTTGCATTTGATGGAAAAAAAAAGAAAGTAAAAGGACGGGGAATGACAGGGAGGAAGGCAACTTAATCACACTAAAAGGAGGATAGGAAAAGGAGTTGTCTGTGAGGGCAGAGAACAAGGTCAAACAGGCATGGAGAGAAATATAGAGCAAGGGTAAAAGGAGAAAGAGGAACAGAGAGACTGAACGACAGAAACAGAGAGAAAGAAAAGCAACAGGAGGAGAGACAAAGACTAAAGCAGGGGGTAAAAATAACTTTCAGAATGAGTCCTGTTGTAGAATGTGACCCTGTACTGTAAGCACCACTGTGAGTTCTTACCAGTAATATGAGTAATATGAAAACGTGCATGGTCGTGGTGGAGCAGAAAAAGAGAAGGGCGGAGTGGGACAGGAAGAAGCGATGGCATCATAACAATGTGTCATGATTAAGAATTCGTTAATGGAATAAAAATCCCTTGAGTGTAAGTGTTATCATCATTTCCAGCTTTCAGCTTACATCAAGATCATTAATTCAATTAGATTAATTGATTTATATTATTATCATCGTATTCCCGTCCTAAAACATCCCTACATAAGAGAGGAATTAGAAAACTCAATTAGAAACTAGAAAACGAAAGAGAAACTCTCCAAGAAAATAAGTTTAAGCACAAGCTAAATTCAAAAAACATTCTATTCAGTCATCATCAGTCATTTATAGATTTAATGGTATTTCAGGTCATATGTGATTCATTCTCAATCTCTTAAATCACACAACCTGTCGTCCTCAGGGATGTTTATAAAGGAATGATTTGACTCCTCCATAAATTTGCTGTAACATAAGATTCAGAGCCAGAAGTGCACTGAATAAATGTCATTTTAAGCATTGTAATAGAATAGTATACTAATACATGAGCAGATGTTGCAGTGTGAGGGATTTAATAACATCTGTTCTGCACAGATTCACCTGAACTAATAAGAAACACAGAACAACCCTGAGAGTAAATATTGGCCTTTTATTAATCATAAGGGAGTGGAGATGCTGTAGGCTAGAAGACGGGGAGACATGTTGGCTCCTTCACCGACTGTTTATAAATTCACAATAGTATTCAATATAATTTGAATATATATGCATATGGGTGAAATTCAAAGTATGGTTTTATGCATGTGGAATAATATTGCGATACTATGTTATATGGATAATGTGCACAATGACATTTAAAGGGATTTGAAGGCATATAAATATAAAAACATAGTCAAAGTCAATTCTCTCGGATGTGCAGGACACAGACAGGGTTGAAATAACATTGTAATGAGGAGAAAGTGGAGATTGAAAAACAATGTCTGTGGTCATTTACACAAACTGCAGGCACGTGAGGGTTGGGTGTACCTGTGACGTCACTGCCTCAGTCCCTGTACCCCGGGTCCGCTCATGGCTCATCCCAGTGCCGCGCGCCTCTCCGCTCACACCGCACCATCGAACCGGAGTGACTCCCGGAGTCAAACACACGGTGAAACCGGGAAACATTACTTTTTTTTATTTTTTTTTTCCATTTTGGTCCCGTGCGACTCAAGCCTTGACCGCGAAGCCGAAACAAGGCGTCTGCACCCCGGGAGCAGGTTGAACAATAGGTGAGAAGGTTTTTGTCCGGTGCGTAATGCGGATGTGTAATTCGTAAAAAAAAAAAAAACTCCGTTAAAAAATCCTCCGGTTTGACTTTTCCTCACACACTGAAACACGCGTGTGAGCGCTTGTGCAGCCCGAGTGAATTCAAGTCGTGTGTTATTGGTCGATCTTCAATTCGGCATTAATTTCAGACATTCTTACCTATGCATGTTTTTCCTATTGAACTCTGATAACTTTGCCTGTTGCCCTCAGTACGCAGCGCGCATTTTGTGCCAAAACCTACATTTCGTTTGCGTTTACACTTGCGTATCTCAGCCGCAGTTTTTCTACCAAACTCGTGCAACAGCTGGACACATCTGTCTGAGCTCTCTACTCGTGAGGACGCGCAGCGGCCGTAAACCGGACAGTTATTGTGCGCGACAGTTGGAGCCATTGGACACACACACACACACACACACACACACACACACACAC